AGCTGCCACCTCCCTCACCAGCCGAGCGAACTCATCTCTGTCCTGGTAGATCTGCTCCACTGTCAAAGTGCCTGTCGTAAGAACAGCAACAGAACATCAGCTTCATAGAATCACACACATAAGCACTGTATTTTAATGAGGCTACTGGAATTGTTAGTTATCTATTAACCTAAGATAGAACGCAAATGTCCCTCCAGGGTTTGCAGGACCACAGCCTTGATTTCCAAGACAGACTTTCCCAGAAACTGCTCACAGGCAACCGCCAGCAAGTCTGTGTCAGTCATAACCTTGACCTGATGAAAACACAAAGCAAGAGTTAAACCAGCCCTTCATTTTGCTTTTTGAACTCTTCGAAAATAATTTGAAATAAAAGTTAAAAAACGTACTACCATTCAAAGGTTTAGAGCCATTACAAAATTTTAGGCAGCCATTATTCCAGTGTTCAGTGTAGGGTTATTATAATTAACTTTAACTAAAACTTTAAGTAAAATAAACTAAAAATAAAATATAAAAACTAAACTTTAACTTATTCTATTTCAGCTACTTTCCAAGGCAACATTTATCCTTTTTTGTATTCAACTTGATCCTAAAATGGTACTAAAATAACTCAAACTGAAATAAAAATTGAATAAAAACTATACAGACATTTATTTTTAAACAACATAAACTAATGAAAATGACAAAAAACACAACAAAATTACTAAAAATAAAACTATTTCAAAATATTAATAAAAACTATAATAGTATCTTAATGATACTAAAATAACATTGCTTGGGTATCACATGATCCTTCAGAAATCATTCTAATGAGCTGATTTGCTACTCACAAAACATTACTTATTATTATCCATGTTGAAAACAGTTGTGCTGCTTAATATATCTGTAATAAATGTGATACATTTTTTTCAGGACTTTTTGAGTATTTAAAATATAAATCTGTAACATTATTAATGTATTTACTGTCATTTTCGATCAATTTAATGCATCCTTATTCAATAAAAGTATTCATTTCTTTCACAAAAAGGCTAAACTTTTGAACGATAGTTTATATACCATAACTTTCAAGACCCAAAAACAATGTACTGATACTAAGCTGCAATGATGACTGCAATAATGATGCAAATAATGGAAAATCTAAAAAATAAATGTAATAAAACAACAGTAAATGAGCTCTGAGTGTTTACTTGAGCAACTCCTGTAACTGTAATAGCGACTCCCTCCGCTGTCTCCACGTCTTCACACTTAGGCTGTAGTGTCATAATCTCTAGTGTAATTCTGTGGGAAAACACAACCTTTAAGTATAACTAAACAATGCCTAAAGCAAGAAAAACCTGATTTACCAAAGCTTGTCAGCGTTGCAGAATTCAAAAAATGGGACAAGAGTGCAAAGACAATGGCAGTGGCTGACAGGAAATTCAGTATGCAATCAGAGATGTTCACAGGAAAGAATGAAGCAAACGCTCGATAGAAAAGCATCAGATCAGCTCATAAATCAACTAATTCATCTGATCATGGAAATTTAAGAAGTAAACAGAAATAGTAACGACAGAAGATGTATATGATAAAAGTATCTCTTAAAGCAATCTCTGAAGACCTCTATACAGCCAAACTGGTTTGACAAACACACCTGACCAGGCGTGCCTTTTAGTTTTCTAAGGTCAGGCATTATAGTCACAGCTAAACATTGACTGTGTGTTGTTTTAGTGAACTTTGACTACATTTACTGCACTGCAGAGTGAAACGTGATCCTCATTTATTTGACTGGCATTACCTCTGTGTGTCTGATATAAGCCACCATGCCCATGCCCAGCCTCCCACCACATATGTCTTTGCGTCTGACCCACAACAGGCACCTAGAAGAGGGGAAGAAACACTTGTGATTGCAGTGATAATCTCAAAAGACACAGTCAAACATTACAAGGATAGGATCTGTGTGAACAGAGTTCAATGGTGATTAATACATGAAGTGAACTAGAAGATGCTATGAAAGATGCCCTTACTAAAAAGTCATATCATGGTACTCTGACTACCATTAGTGTTGTTTTAGTATAATTGAAACACTATTATAGATTTAATTCATATTTTTATTTTTTTTTATTTGTATATATTTTGAAAGTTTTTAGTAATTTTGTGTTTTGTCATTTTTTTAGTTGTTGTTGTTGTTGTTTTAAATATGTATATATAGTTTTTTATTGATTTTTATTTCAGCTTTAAAAGTTTTAGTTATTTTTGTGTCATTTTAATATCAAGTTAAACTAAATGAAAATGAGAAATTTTGCCTTGGCAACTAACTGAAATAAAATTTATGTTTAAGTACATTTTACTTGATTTAGTTTACACAAAAACTGAATATATATATATATATATATACATTACTAAAAAGTCATATCATGGTACTCTGACTACCATTAGTGTTGTTTTAGTATAATTGAAACACTATTATAGATTTAATTCATATTTTTATTTTTTTTTATTTGTATATATTTTGAAAGTTTTTAGTAATTTTGTGTTTTGTCATTTTTTTAGTTGTTGTTGTTGTTGTTTTAAATATGTATATATAGTTTTTTATTGATTTTTATTTCAGCTTTAAAAGTTTTAGTTATTTTTGTGTCATTTTAATATCAAGTTAAACTAAATGAAAATGAGAAATTTTGCCTTGGCAACTAACTGAAATAAAATTTATGTTTAAGTACATTTTACTATTACACACAAAAAAAATATATATATATATATATATATACACACACACACACACACACACACATATATATATATATATATATATATATATAATATAATATTAAAGGAACTAAATAAATAAATAATTTGAATAGAATACATTTTTAAAACGTTTTGAAAGTAATAATAAATAATTTTTCTTTGGTCTTTTGGACCAAATGTACCATGGTAGTATTATAATATTCTTGGAGATACCCTGGAATACCATGTAAATATGGTAATGTTATCTGATACTATCTAAATGCTGGAGATTAAACAGTAATGTTACTTCACGTTGCCATTTCTCAACATTTTAAAGAAATCAGCACAATGTAACGTCACCATATCACTGTTAAGCATCAAAGTGGCCGTTTCGATAAAAATAGTATATTTAGTTATGAATGAATGTAAAGAGCTATCAAATATTAAATCACTATTAAAGTGTAACGGGATGCACCTAGCAAACATAAGATACAAAAGGGAAAATAACTGCAAACACTGAGTTTCGCAATTGAATATGTTTGCGCTCGAATTTATCATACGTTTCAAAAAACGATAAGTTAAAATGATACAATTTTTTAAACAGTTATGAATGACTCGTGTAAATGCGGAAGAGCTGATGAGCTAACGTAGTAACTTAGCTGTAGCTAGCTAATACACGACTGGATGATATTATTTACCACAGTGAACAGTACATGTGAAAACAAACATTTACATGCACACTTCATTAACGAATGAATGCAATAATTGCATATAAATATTAAACTCCTAATATTACAAGTTATAGTAAAAACACATATATTACGATACCTGACACAACGAGCGCTTCATTTGGTCCAACAGTCAGGCAGCAACCCATACTTGCATTTAATACCAAACAATAATCCTTTCGTGTGTATTCCTGTATATTTAATAAAGCGTTTATTTAGCAGCTTTTTGACTCGCAAAATGAAAAAATCTCCGCCCTAGTGAGAGAATAAATGTTTGTCAACACAGGCGACCCTGCCCACCGCCACAGGAAGGAAGGGTGGTACGTGATACTGTATGGCTGTGGTGTCAAACCTAGCGAGTTCCCTGCCTAGACAGCACGAAGGTGCTTATGATGGCCAAAGATGCTGTCTAGATAGGCAGCTCACTAGTTTTTGAGACACAGACTGTGTGTTGTCATGATTACTGTAAATGCTGACTGTATTCATGTATATATTGATTGTGCTTTTATTGATGAGCTGCATGGATATACTCTATGTGTTGTGCATGTGATATTTAGTTTTTTCACTTTTACATGTTTATCCACATATTTTGTTAGCTTTTAAATGTATATTCCTATTCTGTCGCCATTTATGTTTTAATTTTAGTGGCCTCAGGAGTAGATTTTATGCTTTTATACATTTTACATTGAGAAAGAAAGACTTACTGTGGTAGTACTATAGTGAACTGATGGTATCAAATGGTACCATTATACTTTTTTATATGTATACCATGATATGACATTGATGATGAAAAAGGCTGGACTACTACGTTTTTTTTTTTTTTGCATTGTGACATAAAAAACAGAAATCCAAATGACATATTGGTTTGATTTATTTAAAAAAATATGTAATTTATTAAAAATATTTGTATTACTGTAATTTTTAATGCAATCGAGACAAATATAGAGTCACGGTACATAAAATATTGAGGGTCTTAGAAATAGGATTTTTAAAATCATTTTTACAAATATTTTTATTTGGACAATTTAGTTTTTTTCCATTGTGACATAAAAACAAAATAAAAATATTTTTATTACAGCAATTTTTAATGCAATAGAGACAAATATTGAGTCAGGGCACATAAAAATATTAAGGGTCTTAAAAATAGACTTTAAAAATAATTTTTACAAATGTTTTTATTGGACTATTATTTTTTCACTGGGATATAAAAACAAAATAAAAATATTTATATTACAGCATTTATTAATGCAATAGAGACAAATATTGAGTCAGGGCACATAAAAATATTGAGGGTTTAAATTTTTTTTTTTATCATTTCACATAAAAACATAAAATAAAATATTTGTATTACAGCCATTTTTAATGCAATAGTGTAAAATGTTAAATTAGGAGTCTGGACTCCTGGACTACAAAAATGCAAAAAAAAAAACTTAAGGGTTTTAAAATTAGTCTTTGTTTTCTTTATATATAATATAATATAATATAATATAATATAATATAATAATTTCTTTTAACCAGTGTAATTCCCATTCAGTAGGTGGCGCGTTGAACCCAAGTTACCTTCGCATTTCCTCGACCTCAGCGAGGAACACACGTGGGAAAAGCTTACTGCGCATGCGCGGATATGGGCTGCAGCAGTGGGCACAGGGCAGCAGCAGTGACTAGACAAGCGCTTTATCGACACAAGCAGAGTACAGGTGCCGAATAACCCAGCAAAATGCTCTTTTAAACAATCACACGTCTCATCCCGAAGCCAGAGAGTAAGTTTCGCTTTCGACACCTCCCATCCGGTCATTTTAATGCGGTTTTAAAAAGCTGTGAGATGAAAGCCGGGCAGTGGCTCGCACAAAGAAGACACAGGCTATATGCTAGTAGTTGTAGCAAGTGTAGAGACAGAGGTACCAAGACAGGCTGAGATCTCACTCTGATCACCTTTTAGATTGGTTAGTAGTTAGCTGGGCGTTAAATGAGCACGACAAACCTTCAGCCAACCGGATACATCTTATCTACAGGGCAGATGTGTGCTACAGTGACCCTAAATTGTGTAAGTGTGTCTGTGCTGATCTGAGATAAATGTAATGCATGTAGCTTGTGGCTAAGCAAACTTTGGTGGCTAGCAGATTTATTATAGGGTGGATGAAATGGCAACCACAAATTGTACTTTCAACTCAAAGTGCTTTGGTTTTATGATTGGCTAAGTTAATTGTGTTTGAGATTTCACAATGTAGCTCAGCTCTTCCAAAGCTCCTGTTGTTTTTAATTAAGACCATAAATGTGTGTCAGCTTAAATGTAAGTATTTGCTTGTAAGAGCTGTGAACTGTGAGTTCGTTTAGATGTTGAACCCAGTTCAAGTTTTTTTTTGTAGAGCACCACCTAAATAAACAACTCCCCCATCCATTGGTCCATTTTGGGGATGATATAACGGGACGTGCTTGGGTCATCTTTGATTCTAAACAAATCCAGGATGTTTAAGGCAGTGTGGCTGATAACACCTCCTTCAGTGTAAAATTAAAAGCAGCTCCCTGATGAAAATAGCTGGGGGTTGGGTGCGCAGAACATGTCAGGCTCTGTCTCGACTGCACTTTTTGACACCTGCACATCTCAGATTGGAGGAGTCAGCTGGGAGCATGTGGCCTGTGGTCGTGTTGCCGCATCCCCTGCCGTGCCCCTGGGCACCTGCCAGGCAGATGGGAGAATGCGTTTGCATCGCACTCCTGACACTCAAACTGCAGGGTGTGCACAGTGGGCCTTGACACCAGCTGTTTCAGAGAGCTATTTAAAAAAGGTCATGCTTGAATGCATGATGTTTAAATAAATGGCTACAATGAGGCAATTACAGAGATCTATAGCTACAGCGTTTGATGGATGTTCAGGTGAATTAGCAACGGTAGGGTCTTTGTACACTTCTGCGATTGCCGTTTTCTTGCGGCCGGCTGTAAATCATGTCATTTGTTGACTAGCACGCTCTACTCAGTATTACTTACTTAGCTTGTTGGGATATTCACTGTGTGCTGGTTTTCAATCTGCAAGTCTTTTTTCTGATTATTGCTTCTTCTGCTGCTGTGTTGCAGCAAACCACCACTAATTAAACTAGAAATGTCCTCTTAATAATTTATTACTCTCATTAATTCCCATTGCAGTGTGTTCCATTAAACCTTCATCTACACGTAAAATTGGATCTCTTTAATGGCACCCTCGGAGGAGAAAATAGACAATGTTTCTTTTTTTACACCATGTATTTTAAGAGACAAATGATGTGAATCCGTTTTTGTTCCTGACGTGACTGTTTCCTTTGCAGTGTGATGAGGAGTGAGAGTCCAATGTTGCATTAGTCTCATTGTGATATGCTGGCCTGTCTGCCGGTATCAAACCCCTCCCTCCAGCTTCTCTCGCACACGCAGATGAACACTGGACTTCAGAAATGTAAGAAATGGCCGTTAACCGAAATGAGCTTTGTTCTGATTAGACTGCATGTACGTTTGACCTAGTTTGTCCCTTTGTTAGCTCTGCCTCTTGACCCTGCTCCGTCAGAGCCCTGATAAGCAGTTTTATATTATCACATTTGCGCCACATTTCTTGCAGTACCCTTCATATTTGGCCTTCTCTTGCTCACAGGGGACACTACACAGAGGATGAGATCAGCACACTATCCTACCCCAGCGGATTTGGATGCCTATGCTAAGAAAGTTGCCAATAACCCACTGACTATAAAAATCTTCCCCAATAGTGTCAAAGTACCTCAGAGGAAGCATATTCGCCGCACCGTCAACGGTCTCGACACCTCCAGCCAGCGCTACAGCCCCTACCCACCTCAGGTCAACACCCGGACGGGCCTCTTGGCCATCGTCAAAGTCCCTGTCAAAGGGATCCTCAAGGACATCGAAGGCGGCCGAGCCCGTTTTCTCCCTAAGCTCATCATGAACCCGCACAGTGGGCTTTACGCCAATCCCAGCACTTTAAATGTTCCTCACACTGTTCCACACCTTCAGACTCCTTTAGGCCAGAAGAGTCTCGCTCACTCTCAGGCCTTGCAGGCCCATCCGCAGTCCCTGCAGCAGAAGAGCAGTTTACAACCACAGCAGAGCCTGGCCCACCAGGAGGCTTTACATCAGAGCCAGGCTCACCAACCGCCAGTACCGCACCACACCCTAAACCACCAACAGACTCTCATGCAGCAGCAGCCACAATTGCCTGGTCCGCAAGGACTCCGGCATCTGCCCGATATGGCGCAGTCGGTGCACCTGCAGCACTCCCAGGGCTTCTCTCAATCCCAGCCCATGCCACAGGCCTCTTGCGCCGGCCCTCCGGCCCCCGGGGTCTTACAGCCCCCCCTGGCAGGCTTGCAGATGCCACGCAAGCTGCCCGACGCCGATGCCCCTCCCAATGTGACTGTGTCTACCTCAACCATCCCGCTTTCCATGGCTGCCAGCCTGCACCAGAACCGGCCCAGTGACCTGAGCAGCATCGTCAATCAGATCAACCAGTTCTGCCAGGCTCGGGCCGGCATGGGCTCTACCTCCATGTGTGAAGGACAGATCGCCAACCCCAGTCCCATCAGCCGCAACCAGCTCATCAATGCGAGCTCTCGGGTGTGCACCCATCCCGGTGTCGGTCCTCCACCTTCTTGCATCCTTGGTAACGCTGATAAAGGCGGTCCTGCTCCCGCTCTGCCACTGCCTGACATCGCTGCCATGAACAGGATGCCTCTTTACCACAATGACATGAAGCAGCATCAATCCCAGCCACAGTTACCCCAGCAACAACGTCAGCAGGGCCCTTGGGGGCAACACCAGTTGGCACACCTTCAGCACCTTCCGGAGGGAGCGGCTCACCAGGGCAAGAATCTCCCTAGAGAGGCCCTAGTTGGACCGGGGTTCCTCACCAAGAACATGGGCTACCCGCAGGAGGTGTGCATGGCACAGCCCTTCAACTTGAAGCCCTCAACTGATAAACCAACACCATCTCCTCCGGTCAACGGGATGCACATGAGTTACAGTAACGGCCACTACATGCAGCCTCCCTGGAACAACATCCTACCCACGCCAAACAGTGACAGCTCAGGGTCTCAAGACCTGGTGGGGCCGTTCCACGGGGGCCTTTCAGGGGCCTCCATAGACTGCACCCCCGGAGCACAGTACAGGACCGGGGCAGCCATTTCCAGTCAGACGAACCTGATGCAGACCATGGAGTACATGGGCGGCGACTTCCAGGCGCCCTGCTTCCGAGCGCAGAATCCTGGCACAATGGCAAAGATGCGTAGAGCATCAGTCAGCAGGGCCACAGATTCAGGTGATAGTAGAAATGTGCACATCCACCACCCAGGGTACAGATGAGCTGCTGCCAGTTGACGCTAGTCAGTGTTATTCTGAGCGCAAGGAAAAAAATTCCCCCTCTTCCCGTTTCGTTCTCAGTCTTGCAAGTGATCTACTGAATGTTTCCAGTACAATGATTTATGTGGCTACCACAAAGCTGAACCCCCTTTTCTTTTAATTTTAGTAGTTTAGATTGCTTAAATAAGTAGCTTTTGGAAAACGCTGTACGCATTTATTTATTTTAGTTTGTTTATTTGAATAATTTTTTGTCATAAAAGCTTCAGTTTATGATATCAGCACTGTTTTTTTCCATTCCTATCTGGTCTGTGTTATACAAATGAAAAATGTACCACACAACACGCATATATTTACTTTCTCTTTTTGATTAGCAAATGTCCATTATTTAAGAAATTCCCAGCAAATGCCATTTGTATGTAGTTTAGGCCTACTTGAGATTTGAAGTACTAACTCAATGAAGACATTTAAGGGGTGCCATGATACTGAAATATTTGGCTGTTCCATCTAAGCTAACAGCTTGTACAATGTATAGAGGTTGATTTTATTTTTGTTTGACGCTAGTCAGTGTTATTCTGAGCGCAAGGAAAAAAATTCCCCCTCTTCCCGTTTCGTTCTCAGTCTTGCAAGTGATCTACTGAATGTTTCCAGTACAATGATTTATGTGGCTACCACAAAGCTGAACCCCCATGTGCCACTTTTTTTCTTTTAATTTTAGTAGTTTAGATTGCTTAAATAAGTAGCTTTTGGAAAACGCTGTACGCATTTATTTATTTTAGTTTGTTTATTTGAATAATTTTTTGTCATAAAAGCATCAGTTTATGATATCAGCACTGTTTTTTTCCATTCCTATCTGGTCTGTGTTATACAAATGAAAAATGTACCACACAACACGCATATATTTCCTTTCTCTTTTTGATTAGCAAATGTCCATTATTTAAGAAATTCCCAGCAAATGCCATTTGTATGTAGTTTAGGCCTACTTGAGATTTGAAGTACTAACTCAATGAAGACATTTAAGGGGTGCCATGATACTGAAATATTTGGCTGTTCCATCTAAGCTAACAGCTTGTACAATGTATAGAGGTTGATTTTATTTTTGTTCCTCTCAATGTTTACATATTGTGCTTTTTGTAACTAATTCTGAATCGATATGAAAGTGCAAACTGATACTGGGATATGCACATATGACAAGACTGTTTCTTTTTCAGACTGTTGAACATGAATCAGGTTAAAGTCTTAGATGGAAATGTTACACTAGGGCTGAGTCAAGCCACATTGTGTACAATGTTAATCCTTCCCTTGAAGTGTCAGCTAATGCACTATCCTTTTTATTCCCTCTTTTTTTCTCGATTATCCTATTAGATTTCAGTTTAAATGGAGACTGCTGTAAACTGAAATTGCTTCGGGACTTGTGCTGTGCCCTAATTGCATAGAGTAGGGTTTTATTTTGTCTCTCAATTTAATTGTTACTACTTGAATTTCATTGGAAAGAGACAGTGACGGCAGGCTTCGACTCACTACAGGACTTAAGTTTAGCAGCCGACCCAAAGCTACCTTTGGGAAGAGTGTCATCATCTGCTCGTGCGTTAGTCCATCGTTAAAGGAAAGACGTGCTTGACCGTAATTGGATGACGGAAGTGTGTTGAAGTAAGCGCAATATAAATGAGCACCACGGGCTAGCCTGTGGCTTTACTGCTGTGCTACTGTATCTGAGAGGTGTGATTAGCAGGTGTGAATGCGTTGTGTTGGGGCGGATTGGCTCACTGCTTTTGCTCCATCATTAACACCATACCGCTCTTCCCTGGCGGGATCACTTCCATCTCCGTCACACGCTGTTGTGTCAGCTGAAGCCTGCCACTGCATTTTCCTCCCACTTTAGGCACTTGATGTGTCATGTCGGTCTTATCTAAAATAGCTGAAATGCACCGCCGGTGACAGTCTAAGTCTGTTCGACGGGAAATAACCAAAACAAAAGACGCATTTTAAGTTGAGTTGTTCTGTGAATTCGATAATTGATCCATCCCATGCTCCACGGTTTAACTCCCATGGAGAGTTTCTCTCTTTCTCAGGTCTACCTGTGCCTCTTCTCATGTTCTCCCTTGACTTTTACATCGACTGAGTCTCTCCACCTTTATCAGGGCAGGCCATCTGGCAGTGGAGCATGGGTATTGTCAGACTTTGGTGGAGCAACTGCAGATGAGCGAGTGGTGGAGCCGTGACTCCCAGTATCATAACCTCCCTGTTTGCCCCTCAGAAGCCTTAAATATTTTATCCTTGAACTGTCCTTGACAATAGGCATGGTGTAGAATATAAATTAATGATATTTAGCTAAATTTGTTTTTGTGAAACCGTAAATCGGGGGAGCAAACTCCCGAAAGGAAGAGGTTTCTTTTGTATTTAGCAATGTATGTGTAGTACTGGGCTGTAACAGTTTTGCATTCACACCACATCATGTTATGTTTCCCCACACTAGCATCTTTATTTGCTCCGTTTACCATTGCAGCAAAACCTGTTCCAGTCCTTTCCCGTAATGGGCGAACGCATTCGTCAGAAACGCAAGCTCGTCTAAAAGGTTTGCGTAGAGGCTGATGTTTTTCAATAACACCAGGCCTAGTTTAAGTTCACGTCAGGATACGTTGCCCATGAAGCTGCTATTTTATTCCGACTACAAAAAGTTATTTCTTATAAATGTTGTGAGGATAGAGTTAAGATCTAATTTATATTATGCCTTTTTTGCAATGCAATATTGTTAATAGGTTGAGCGTCGGGAGGCATAATAAGTTATTCCATTTGCCTGTCGACCATGTCGTTGTAAAGCTTGAACGTTTAGACTTCCTGTATTACTTTTGATCCTCTTTTCATGCCTTGTTACAGCTCAAGAGTACAAAGTCAGGTTACTCTTTTAATAGTTACTATCTCTATGTGAAGTGCCTCCTCTGGGCTGATGTGGACCGTGTGTATGTGACCGTAGGGATGGAAAATGGACCGGCGCTAGTGCACATTCCGTAGACGTAGTGCACTGCTCACGAACGGGGAACCGAGCTACTTTAAAAACTACTGATATCGTTCAGAAGAAAAAATGAACACCGTGTACTGCTGCAGGTGTAAGATCTGTTCAGATTTGAATAGTTGCTGCTGAATCACTAGTTTAGGTGGCGAGAGCTACGCTGCTGAACTCCCTAGTGTCCTTGAAACATTCGAAGGAATGCTCTGGAAAGTTCTTTGTCTTTTGGAGCACATGCACTCCTGCCCCCATTACCCCCCTCCCTTCCTGCCCCTCTTCCCAAAACAACACAATGGCAGTTTTGGACTACAGGAGTGTGTGTTAGGAGTTGAGTGTGTCTCATCTTGTTCCACCAAAGAACAAAATGTTACTTGAATGGTAGCAGTGTGCACCTGTTTTGTGTAACCGAAAACTGTCATTCCAGATACACATTTTTTCAGGAACGTGTTGCACAAACATTCCCCTCTAACCAAAATAAAGTTTGACTTGCATTTGCAAAGTGTGTCTTGTCTGTTTTTGTTTTCTTGTATAGTTGAATATTTCACTGATTATTGAATAAAATGGGTTACAAAAGTAATTATTTTGGATTAATAAGACATTATGTTCCGACATATTCACCTATATTTGAGTGCACTCACCTTTCATTTTTGCATTAAAATGTGTTTTCCTCAGCTTTTAATCAATAATAATGTAAATTATAATAGAATCAAATATTATCTCTATTGTGACGGGACGTAAGACTGATTTTTCAGGTCAGTCTTGAATTTTCAGTATGTTGTGTTGGAAAATCTAAAAACAAAATAATCTGATGAAATAATAAAAAATCGTTTGTCATGTATTTAAAGTAGTAGCCATTTTGTTTGCTGGTGTTGTTGGCTACCAACTTAAAATGAAGGAAATTACCTTTTTGAAAGCCTATTCAAGCAGTTTCTTAAAATTAGGCTATTCTGTACTATACTTACCAGAGCCTGTGTATTAGTAACCACTAGCCTGGAAAGAAGTGCTTGAGAATGGACAGTAATTTAAATCATGCGACATTTTCTAAATGTTTTTATGCTTGCCAAGGATTAACAGTAAATTCCGGTCCTCGGATTCGATTGGCTGAGCGGTGTTAGTTCATCTGTCAGCGCTAGGACGTTTCATTATTTGTATCACTGCGCAATCTGAGTTTGCGTTTCATACAGACTTGTCAGTCGGTGATTTAGTATTTTCACTTAAGTGACTCTTTATGCAGTTAACATCATCGACATGCTAAGAAAGTGGAAACAAGTGACAGTGTTTCTGAATAAATCAACAAATAATTTAGTTCTACAATCTACATTGAATAATTTAGTATTCAATGAATAGGCTATTTCACTCACGATTGATCAAAATAACTGTTGCTCAAAGATGCGCGACGTTAAATCGTATCTCTGGAACTATTTTCGTTGGCGGAGCAATAATAGACAAACTAACTGGCAATATTTGTTCTAACATAAAAGTTATTCAGTAAAGCAATATCACGTGCAGCTGTGCTTTTGGTCTGAATGACAACAGGGCTGTGATTACAGCAACGCGATACATAAAAGATAGGCTATGGAGTATTGAGGAATAGACTGAGTACAGGTGGTTTTAGGGTTGGTGAGGGATAATGTCCCCTGAAACCAACGCAGAATTTGTAATGGTTTTCCTCGTTATAATGGGAATTGTAGCCTACTGGTTTTATTGGAAACTGTAATCGGTCTTTGTCAGGTGACGTCACACTCACGAGAATCGAAGTGCATTTTGGGTATCGCCGCCATTTGTAAGGTATCAAAGCCGAGGTGTTCTGTAGTTGGAGAATTGTCTTTTTCATTTGATTTAAAATGGTCCGTTCTTGTGTTAAAGTCTGCAATAGTGAATTACATGATAGAAAAGGTCAAAAACTCACCACGAAGAAAGATATTTTAGGTCTCACACTTGAAAAAAAGACTAAACAACAAGAGGCGTCGCCGCGTCAGATGGCCTGGGTTGCAGCGGTGATCATATTTGCCAAAATAGGTTTAATGGTAGAGACTCACATGATGTAATTACTTACAATTGTGCAAATTATGTGCGCAAATCAATGGTAGACAAAAACAGATCATATAAGTGTATAATTAAATAAAATAATTTTTATTTAATTATATGATTATCTGAATAGGAATCTAAGACCACACACACAAGCATGAAAGTGTTCCTTTCATAAGTAACATAGGATTTGTATTAGTAAGGTTCTTTCATCTCATCATCAACAAATACTTCACTGCATTTTATGGAATGGAATAAAAAACTTATTTCATGTTTGCTTAATGAAGTGTGGAAACCATTATACAGCGACAGGATTCCTTGTTGAATGGAAAGTTCAGAAGAACAGCATTTATTTGAAATATACATCTTTTTTTTTTTACATTATAAATGTCTTTACTGTCATTTTTATTAAACTGATGCATTCTTGAAGAGCAAAAATATACATTTCTTTAAAAAAAATGAATTTTTTTTATAGTAATCCTAAACTTTTGAATGATAATGTAATGTATCAAATGCCAGAATCAAGTGAAGAATT